TATGATCGATCGTTGAAGAAAGACATTTTTGTTTTTCTATTATTCAAAAATAATGATGACTGCGTAATAACATTTAAATGTATAAATTTCAAAAACAAAATAGTATTCATATTATTAAATACGTTTTGTTGTTTCAAAATTCGATAAGGGTGTGGATGTGGGACTTATCTCTATGTACCCACACCCACAATAGAAAAGAATAAAAAAGAATATCTAAATAGGATTTAAACAGTTTTTTGTTCTTTCTTACTGTTATTTCTTTCGGTTGTCTTCGGCTTCATTCGAAAAGGACGATGGATGATGATGTTTTATTAGTCGATAAATGGCTTCTGGTGTTGCCAACAGGGTGTGGGTAGATATTTGTGTATAGGATTAAACTTTGCTTACAAACAACCCCACCCACACGAACGCAAAATGACGTCTTTAGACTCACTTGTAGTATTTACAAGATCAAAACATATCCCTATTGTGAACGTGTAGCAAAAACTATATTTTTAGTTATAAGAATATCGGTTGATGAAAAAATTTTCACTTTATACAGTCTTGTTTTAGAAAGACGTAATGTAGTGACATTTATTAATGAAAAGAAACAGAAACGTCAAATGGTGTTTATGAATATTCAATCGGTGTTAGGCTTTTTTAGTCGACTATTCATTCATTCGTTATGATTATCAAATAATGTTTAAACTTAGTCATTTATCTATTTGGCTTTAAAATAAATGAATTGAATATAAATTAAATAAAATGGATAAACTAAGTAAATCAGTTGAAGTTTTAAAATTACTTTCAACAACAACATCAGAAACATTAATAATCAAGTAAATAATTTGATTTTTTTCTGTTTTTCATTTTTTTTCATCTCTTCTCGAATGTTTTTCTCATTTAGAAGTAACAATGAAAATTATTTTAAATTATCTACAACTAGTGTGGAAACATTATTTATAACATGTGATGAAAATGATTATAATATACGATTCGCTACCGAAGAAAGTTTTAATAAATTTGTCAAAGTATTATAAAAGAAATTCTTTTTTTTGTATCATTTTGTATGAATTATAAAGTAGAATTTAAAAGAAGCAGATTTAACAAGAATTCAAGTTGAATTACATCGAATTTAAAAACATAATCCTAATATTGAACCAAAAGCTTTAAAAGTTTATTTTTATTATTTGACTTAAATTTATAATAAGATTTTTTTTTAATTTCGACTAGGTGTTCTGTGGCGATTTGTCGAATTAGCAAATGTAATACATCCGAAAACGATTCAACCATTTTATCAGAATATTATGAACTTATTTTTGATATTCTTGGTTGATCAATTAATGAGAAAGAAATCAAAGTAAGTAAAAAAGAAAATCTTTGTCATCTAAGACAAGTCTTTTAAAGAAGTAAGCAGAAAAATGTCATACGGTTGAATAGAAACATAGAAAAGAATTGGTCTAGTTAATCGACTACTTCTGAGCCTATGTTTCGGTTAAAACTTTGAACAAGAGAGGACGCTTTTCAGATACTGTAGAATAGGTAGTCTGATACTAGTTGACGAAATACGGACTGAAAAATTGTCCATCATTTGAAGCGATCTACCCTCGGAAGTAATTGAGCGTAGAGTTTCATGCAACTTAAGAATGGTTTAGTCATAGAAGTTCACTGGCTATCGTTATAGTTCAAGTATAAAGTCGAGTGAGAACGAATTTTTCTTTTTCTTTTCCTAATATTAATAATAAGTAATTTTCTTTTGAAATATATAATCAATTACTAAATTATTCTTAGAAACTTCTCATACCCTATTCAGCAAATATGTTATTTCATGATTATAGCACGTTTTCTAATGACAAATGCAATTCGTAAGTTTTCTTTCAAAATAATAATTTCAATTCATTATAATTGTCTTTTATTTTAATAGATCACTTATTTGAACATCAAAATCAAAATGCTAGTACACGTTTAATAATTGGTTATCCTGGTTTAATAAAAAAATCTTATTCAATTACTTGGTTATTCAGATTTATTTGATTTCAATCAATTATTAATTTCAATTCAAATTTGATCCATAGAAGAAAATCGTGTTTTACTGAAGCCTTAGAAACAGGTAAATATTGAGAAAAAAAAACAGGAGTTTTTTTCTAAAACAATAGCTTATTCAACATATCAACGTTGATTTATTGAAATTAATGAACAACAAGATATTTTAGTAAATAAAATGAATGATAAATTCGATTCAACCTCAATGATTAATAATGAAAAACGAACATCAGCTGCTAAACTTGTTAATCAATTATATTTTTTTTCGATTAGATATATACTCAATATGGATGGTACGATAAAAAGTGATGATAAATCACGTATTAGTGTTAAATGTGCTATACCAATATGTCTATCGTATTTATCAATAATTTGGTTGATTTGATTATCCTACTGAAAGTATGTTTAATGCTTGTTTGAGGCTTCTTTTTGTAAAGTTTCACTTCAGTAAAATAGATCTATTTTATAATCCAAAATTATTTCTAATGTTGTAACAGTAGGAGGGCTTAGGTGAAGGAGATTGTGGCAGAGTTTAGTTGACGTGGCTTCAATTGGTTATGGTCTCAAAGTTTTAGTGAAAGCTATCTGGTAGATATGACAATTTCATTATTAAATTCTTCAAACAAAACGATATGAAACATATATACTGAAATTTGAAAATTCAAGAATGAAGATTTCTCGATACTGATTCAGCAGTTCTAGTCCTATTCCTACTTTTAATTTTTTTTGAAACCAACAAAAGACTAGAACATTATCAGATTCGAAACGATATCAAGTAGAACACTTTATTGAAACTCAAAGTCTGCATTTATACATCAGAGATTGAAATTATACAATCACATAACTACCTTAAAAACGTTCTAAGCCGAAGTTCGAGATATGAAATCAATTGTATCCTCTAAGAAGTTTTTCTTTAGTCTTTGAAGATTTCTGATTAGATATAATTTTGTAATTGAAATAGAACTTTCTAATGAGAAAAATGAAATTCTCATCTCTATACGATTTGTAATACATTAAAATTTATCGAATATCAAGGTATCTTTTTTTTTCTTTCTTTAAGATATTACATATATTTTTATGTTTATGTGAACACGGTGATCTACATTTATGTGGTGCATGTGCAAATTTACTTGTTACATTAATTTAAACAACAATTCATCTTTTAACACTATGATCATTATCAAATTCTTTTATTAATCGATGTTCGCTTGTATCAACTGATGCACAAGACAGTTCAAGGTTATATGTCTTAATGATAATAATGCACGTGTTATACATGTTTCATTAAATGCTTTACGAACATTATTACCTTTTTTATTAATTAATAGTCATGCATTTACAATCATAAGAATTGAATTATTAGAAGATTCTATTCAACATAGTACAAGTTCCTATATTCTTGCTAAAGTACAGAAAAGAAATTTATAATTATAATAATTTTTTTTTTTGTATGTATATAAAATAGTTTGCTCTAGATCAACTTATAGATAATATTGATTTTCGAATATTAACTTATTTTGAAGAAGAACAATTAAAACAACAGTATTCTGATATACGTGTTCGTCAACCAACTGCTTCTACTTTTGTAGATATGCTAACTAAGTAGTTTTTTTTTCGAATTTGAATGCATAAGTCGATTTTATTGCATTAAGTTAGTTATTAGCTACTTTTTGATTTTAAGGTTTTATTGATCACAATTCATTTTTACCATGTCAATGGTCAATACATTATTTACTGAAAATGGATTAATTCTTCTTGTCAATGGATATATAAAATTCATCATTCATTACACGTTCAAGTATCAATTGGAATACAAATTGTTTGTTATTTATATAGATTGGATGTTTAGAAGGTATTTATGCTATTTCAAATGTTTTAGGACCAACAACAATTCGACCATTTTTTTCATAATCAATATGATGAACTTCGTTGATTTATGCATTTTTTTTAAACATCCATTTATATTACATGATCTTAATAATTTAATCTTTTCAAGTAAAGAGAAAAAAGAGATTATGTTTTTTGAATTCTTTCTTTTTATTTAAAGATTTATCAAATCTCAACAAATGAAAAAATGTTTTGAAAGTAGCACAAATGATTCAAGTAATTCGAAAATTGAACTATTTTATTATCATTCTCGAACTATTGCAAAAATATTCACAATCATCATTCTTTTGGACAGAATATAGTTGATATTTCAGTTTTCACAGAAGAAGAGAGTTCCAATGTTTTAGATTTGAAGAATATATTTGATCATGTTTCGTCTATAGGAATCCATTTGTTTTTTCTTTTTTAAGAGAATGATAAAGGCTCATCAACAACATCAAATACAGTCAAAGATAAAAAAATTTAATCGTACACAATTAGGTACTTTTGAAAATAATCCATCGAATGATGAAATCATTCGAATTAATACGTTCATCTTATCAAATACGTAAAAGTTTATTAAATTCATTAGAAATGATCATTATTGTCTATGAAATCAGTTTTAAGTCTTATTTCTACACAAGATTTATCCAAAAAAGTTGGAAGAAACACTTAATTATTTTAAATCAATATTCAATGTACACAAGAGGTAACTTTTTTTAAATAGTAAATATTTATTGTAAAGAAAATTTCAATTATTAATCTTTTTTATTCATTGGTTAAGCTAAAATCGTTAAGATGTTGCAATGGGTCTGAAACTTGTCTATGGATAAAACTTTAGATGGAAATCTTATCATTAATATTTCTGGTAGGATCTTTCCTTGAGAAGGAAAATTTTCAATATAAGAATGTCACAGTAACAGAAAAACTGATTTTACGAATATCGACGGTCTTAACAAGAGTAGTTTAGTGTGAAAATGTCAGATCTTTTGATTCGGTTCTATCTTGAAATTCGAATATTCAATCGTCTAGTTTGCGTGAGCGATCTGCAAGACACACTATCAATTCAAAATTTGAAAATCATTTTTTCTGTTAACACAACATTTATTTAAAAATATTCTTTTAATTTAGTTTTTATTAAATCTTCATATACTAGCAATCGTTTCATCATCGTCTACTGAAAGAAAATCTTCAAATGTTTCTTCACAAGTATCATTACATAATTCTTTAACTTATATTCATACCATAAGCATTCGACAACCGATAATTTATTTTATTTGGTTCACGTTATGCATCAAGTATAAATAGTGATCAATTCATAGAAAATAGTGCAATACGAGAGTAAAATAAACAAAAAAAAAAACGAATTTGATCTATTCTGTTTTTTTTGTTTTCTATTTTAGTTAGCATGAATTATATGTTGAATATTTTACATCAATAACAACACATTATCAATTATTATTATTATTATTATTATTTTTTATTTGAACAAAGTGATACATGTACATATGTACATGATTTATTTGATCTTATACATCATACATCCGTTGCAAGTCATTTATTCGTTTTTGAAGGAATACATTTAGATGAAAGTGATCTGGTATTAGTTTTATTAATTGAACAATTTCTTCCATTACCATATATATATATCTGTATTACGTTGATCTGAATTAATTGTTTATGATCGTATTGAAACGATGTTAACACTTGACAAACAAACATTAAATAAACAATTATGACCTAAATATTTACCATTAATTTAATAAATATTATCAATAACAATATAAATCGATATTATTAAAGAAGATTTTAATAATCTTAATTGTCCTATGGATATAACAAGAAAAATTTATGCACAAATGCTTAAAAATGTAACTTATAACAAATGATTACTATTTATGATATCACCGGTATGTTTTAGTTTAATTGATCGAAATAAATATATATATGTATAATGAAAATTTTAATCCAATTAAAGGAAAAAAAATTCTTTTTTTTGCTTTGATATTGTTTATGTGCTAGTAATAGATGAGATTTTTAAATAATTCAAAATTTCGAAAAATATTTTGAAATAGAAAACTAGTCGATCTACTGTACTTATATATAAAGAAGAACGAGTTTTAATGATATAGTTAAGAAACAAAATATGCAGAATTTCAGGTAATACAAATCGTAAAGAAAAGCATTTAAGCTACATTACAATGACCGAATAATTTCTCTCGAATCTCATTGATCAAATTCTCAGTCGTGTTATTTGTACTGTTACAATTAAAGAAAACGACGTCTTTCTAATATTATATTTCGTCAGATGTTTTCAATTGTGTTATTTATTTGCAACCGAAAATAATATTTCGAAATAAATTGCATTCGAGAATTTCGATAAACGTTCTATAAGTTTGAACTCCGAAAACCTATTGGCTTTTTTTCATAGCATAAAATTTTTAGGATGATTCTTATACTAAATGAAAATTGATTTGAGAAAGTAAGAAACAATATAAATCTGTTCCTTTTTTGTTTTCCGAGGATTTTGTGTAGTAATATCAAATGCCTCATTGTCTTATCCTTAGTATTCTATATATCAAATGAAACAAATTTAAATGATGTTGAAACAACACCTAATACAATTTATGTAAAAAGTCTTTTATCATGCTCTAATAATCAATCATATTCAATTGCATTAATAGATTTTATATCAATGTATTTTGATAAAATACAAAATCATGTTGAATTAACATGTCAATTTTCAACAAGTGATATACACGATTTATTACGTTTTATAATATTAATATCAGAAATAATTTATATAAATATATTTCAAAAAAAAAAACATCATTTCTTAGTTGTGAAACAGATCAAATAATATCATGTTGTACGTTATCGAAAATACTTTTATCAATATTGGAATATGTTTATCAACGACATGGTTTAACTCTATCAAATAAATAAATCAATTATTATAATCATATTTAAATTTAATTGAATCAAATAATAGATTATTTATACAATTATTACTTTTATCATTTAATGATCTTGATCATCTTTATTATTTAACAAGAAAAATTAAATATATATATATATCATATATTTATTGACATGATTTACATTGTATAGCTATATTATTACTAGCGGAGGTACCCGCTGCTGATCCCTATAATATAATAGTATAAACTTGGCGCATAAGAACACGATGCCCTTAACATGCTATATATGTACTGAAACTATAATATCATCTAGTTAGCTCAGATTTTTTCTCGTGTCGACTTTGATATATGAAACCTGTTTTAGATATTTTTTTCATATTCTTTATTTATGAGTTTCTTTCAATTTAAAAAAATAGTGAAATAATATTCTCTATTGTAAAGCTGTTTGGTATACAACATTTTTCGTTTTTCCATCAGGGGCAAACACATATAAATTTTTTCCAGTTTCTACCCTTGAACATGCCACGTAAAGTTGACCATGAGAAAAGCAAGGAGTTTCTAAATTGACACCAGCAACTTTAAGTGATTGTCCTTGGGACTTGTTGATTGACATCGCGAAGGCAAGGCGTACTGGAAACTGGAGTCGCTTAAATTCAAATGGCATATCAGAAGGAAGGAGAGGTATTCGCGGTATGAATACATCCTCACCTTTTGCACAACCTGTCATGATCGTTGCTTCGATTACATGAGGCATTAGAGTTTTGACACATAGTCTGGTGCCATTGCACAATCTTGCTGCATCCAGATTTCTCAAAAGCATAATAGAAGAGCCAATTTTCAGACGCAAGTTGTGTGGTGGCATTCCAGAAGGTTCAAGTGAATTAAGAAATTCA